TTTAAATCTTCGAAGATATATATATATATATATATATATGTATATCTGCTTGAGTTCATGGGATGTTGTGAATCTTGTTTAATGATGAGAATTCGAATGTAAATACCGCCGGAGGCGCCTTGCGACATTATTCATTTAATAATAAGAAGAAAAAAAGTGAGGACGAAAAAGGAGATGATACAAATATATATTTTCATTGCATTGGATTTGTCATCCACGATTATTCCAATAGACTTTCAATAACGCAAAATGTTTTCTTTTTGGATATGATCGAGGAGATAAAAATATTTTCTAAACATCGATCTCTCTTTATCTTATACAACCTCCACCGATATCTTAATTCAATATATGTATGAAGACATTTCCAAATACCATCCATCATACAAACTATAATACGGTACATTCTGTGATCTATCCTTACATATATTTATATAAATAACAAATTGAGAACAATGTTAATATATGAACCGCCTGAAATTCGAAGCAAGTACGACTTGTTAAATGATGAATAATGATATAAATGGTATAATAAGCCGAATCAATTGTATAGTTAAATATTCTAATTCCAATTATAATGACAAGCGTGTATCTAAATCCAAAACTTCGGAATTTATTCAATAATAGAAAAAAGTTTGTAGAAATATTAATGTAGAGAGTTTCTAAGTACGTATTCAAAAGTACTAAAAGAAAACAGCAAGCAATAGAAAGGATATATTGATTCATATGGTAAATAATATATTTTTAAACGATAAATTAAAAGAAGAAAAAAGGACATTGAAATTCGAAAACGGTGAGGGAATATATATATATATATATGGAGGATGTAGAAAAGAGAAACTAGCGTGAGGAAGACATATATTACACATATAGACATAACATTTTTGGACCCACCCTAAAGTATATATGCAATAAATACTACTACGCAGGTGAATAAAGCGGTTGCTCTGTCACACCGTATCTTTGTTCCATTGCATCTCTTCTCATTCCTCGTTACATCATAATACCCTTATTACGTGCCATGATGATGACGATGATGATGATGATGATTCATCCTTATAATGACCTAATCATCACCTTCAATATCAATTGTCCTTTTTTTTTCACTTGAGTTTGCAACCCTAACTTGAATTTAAAAATAAGATGGTATTTGTAGTTTAAGATGGAATGATTAAACTGATAAGGAAGGGAACAAAACTTATTCCCAATCCAAGTTCGAATCTCCACATGGGTAAGAATATTTATGTAAATTTTTTCGAGCATTTGAAAAATATAGTTGGACCGAAAATTTAGTGAACTTTCAAATTATAAGAAAAAACATGGTATTGACGGTTATTATTCGTATAAATGTTCGGTTAAGTAATTAATTGTCTAATAATATGTTTTAAAGGGCATTTGGTCTTGTTGAACTAGTGAAATGTGAAAAAACACAATTATATATATACCCAACTAGGGTACCACACAAATTTATGGGAAAATCACTCAAATAACCCACTTGGGTCGCATCTATTTCAGTGTACACCACCGAAAAAAAAAATTTCAATTTTAACCCACTTTTCGGTTGGAAAAGTCCGAAATACCCTTTTCGTTTTATTTTTTGCGACCTTATTACGACTAACATATAACTGATATACAACTAAAATAAGACATAATTTTTTTGCCACTTTTTTTTAGAATCAATTGTAACTATATTTAGACTTAATTACGAAGTCGTAATAACGAAGTTGTTTTTGAACGGATAAATATCGTAATTCATTAAGGGTAATTTCGTCTTTTCACAGGGGAAAAAATGTGTTATGTTTTCGGTGGTGTACAGGTGAAATAGATGCGACCCAAGTGGGTTATTTGGGTAAAATACCCCAAATATATGTCTTATGGAACTTTGTGATAGTTTTTTTTTTCTGCTGTTGTCAAGACTATTCTTGTACATATCACAAATTTCTTTATTTGCATAAACTGTTGACCGAAATTTAGCATATAAAAATTTAAATTACCAATATAGCGTTATAGCATTGACAGACCTCTATCAAAGGTGACAATGAGGGACCGTACCTTGTAAACTTTAGACGGATAATTAAGGAGTAGTTTGACTGGCTAGTCTACATTTTGTAAATATCTAAAAACTTTGTAGCATATATATAATAAATTTCGGTCAACAGTTTATGCAAATATATATATATATATATATATAAGCAGTAAGGAATTAGATAAATAATAGTCACTTACATATATATTTTTCAAAATTGAGATGCCTTTTCTTATTTATTCATATTCTTATCCCATGAAATTGAAACACATATATATGTCATATGTTTGAGGAAAGGATAGAGAATGAATAAGTTGGACAGTTAACAAATAAATAAATAAATAAATAAGTTGTGGTGATGAATATATAATTATATATTCTGAAATAGTACCAATATAGAATGTGTTCCCTACGTTGGCGGGGTCTTATCCTATCCCTACGTAGTGTAGATAGAACATCATGAATAGTGGATGTAATCATTTTTTGTAACCTTTTGCTTTTTGGTTACATATGAATATTAATTTTAATCGGGGCATAAAATTAAGTAATCAATACAATTATTTCGACAATTAATGTGAAAACAAATAACTTTCTAAACCATCTTTTTAAATCTTCGAAGATAATCGTCATTAACATTTTAAAGGCTTTGTTCAAAAAAATTATCATTAACATTTGGATCGTAAATTCGGTTATAATTTCACATTAGACCTATTAAATAATGCGGAGTACACATTATTACCAAACAAACAAGTCAATAACACTATGATTACACCTTGGGATCCTAACACTCCTTTATGCGCCCTAAATGTTCTAAATTAATTCTTTTAAAATAATAAATCCTATCGAATTTAAGACATTAGTTTACGTGCTAATATATATATATATATATATATAACGACCACGGCGCTGGCGGCTTCTCGGTCGTTGGCGGCTACGCACCTTTTGTGCTCCTCTCCCGCCGCCTCGTCTGCATGTCCGAGGATCGGTTGGCTCTGATACCAATTTGATAGAACCCACCCATTAATAATGGAACCAACAAAGTCTCAAAGCCCATGGGTAGAACTCACCCCAAAAGCTAGCTTATTGGGGGAGGGTGTTCATGGTATTATATTGACTCAATTGTTCCCACATATGTCCGACTCGCGAGGTCGGTCGGTGTCCGGTCCGAAGAGTTGTGGTTCCCACCGTTACAAAAAAAAAAATTCAAAAATTCCCGGACAACTGTGAGGATTTACCATTCCAAAATCATCGTTATATATTTTTTTTAATATACATAGAAACGTGCGTTGGAAAAAAAACAAAGAAACTGGGCTTAAACCGAAACCAAACAAGAATGTCAAGCCCAACAAAGAGTTGGGCTTATATAAATAATTAATGGGCCGCATCTATTTTTGACCATACGAGGAGACAATATTATATATATAAATTATGAAAGAAGGCCCAAGCATTTTTTTTTTAAAAAAAAGAGATTAAATAGGAGGAAAATTGAAATTATGGTAAATATAGAAATAAAAATAGAAGAAAATGTGTGTAACTAATTGGGAAGGGGGGGGGGGGTTTGATGAAAACATGCATGCACATGAATCTTGCTTGAAGAAAAAGCACTTAAAACATGTATGAGTGAGTAACTGCCTCTCTCAATGGAGCAAGGCTCCTCCTACTCGTTGCTTTTCAAACTCCATCATGCTTTCCATACTTCTATGACCATGTATTTATATATCTCTTCATTTTTACACTTACATATATACGTATGCATATATACATATATATATGTGTATGTCTAAATCTATATAAATGTTGCACCCATTTTTCTGGGTTTCTTTCGTTCCATCTGGTCTTGCAAGAATCTGGGGGCCATGAAAGGTAAACCATCTCTTTTCCTTCTGTTGCTATATTGAAACATTCTTGAATATTATATATGTTTAATCGTTAAGTGTGTGTGTATATATATATATATATAACCAAGGGATGTTTAGTTTGTGATTTTGAGGACAAATAGAAAGTTTCTTTTAAGACATTCTTGATGTGGTTCCAAGTGGCTGCAAAAACAATATAAACATTCAATTCTAATATTCTGCATTTAACAATATATTCAAAAGAAACAACTTTATTTATTTCGATCCACTATGGGGTGATCAAGTGGTCGATTTGAGGGTGCAAAGCACCTGAAAATCAGGTGTTCGACTCTATTTGATAGGGAAGGATGTAATTTATGAATCAAAATGGTTCATACACGAAGATTGGTCTCGAATCTAGGATCGAAGTAGTCGGGTCAAAGATTCGAATAATCATAATGGTTATAAAAAAACTTTATTTATTTACAAACTATATATATTACTCACACATCCAAAACCAACCAGACTCGGATTCTATTATGGACCGTGTATGAAGAATTTAATTGTAGAATAATAATAATAATATACTCTTGCCGAATAAAAATATAAAATATATAAAAAACAAATTTAGAGGAGTTTCAGAATGTTGTTGTGGCTGTTAGTATGGTTGTGTTGTCACAATTGCATTGTAATAGCGTGAAGACAAACTCTCTTTGTTAAAATTAATTAGAAAAAAAAAAAGTGCGTTTGCGGTTTGCGTGGCGGAGAAGACGCGTCGCCGTCAAATGCTCTGTTAAAGTTAACAGCTGTCGTCGTCAATGTACGTGACCGACCTGTCACCTCCACCCCTCGAAATTACGAGTTTTGCCACTCAACGTAAAAAGGGAAAACGTTTCATATACTACGAGAAAGAAACTACCGGATTTTGCATCCACGCGTAGAGCGTGACGACTCTCGTATCGTGGAAGAGTGGGCACAAGATGCACATACATACATACATACATACATACATACATACATACATACATACATACATACATACATACATACATACATATGTATATATGTAAATATATGAAAAATAATATATATTACCATTTGTTAGTTTCCTCATTTTTTTCCTAGTATGGTACTTAGGTATTTATATATTCAGGGTTTTCGTATTTGACAAATCTAATATTTATGATCTGATTTATTCTCAGAATGATAATAATAACAATAAACTTTACCAAATAATAATAACAATGTTTTGTGGGTCCAAATCTTTGAAGATGTGAAAGACCCTCACACATTTCATGCCCTTTTGACCAAAAGCAACCCATCATTACATATTTTACGTTGCTAATGCTATTCATTTCTTATTATTTGTAATTGATACATCAATTCCAAATCCGACGGTAAAGTTTTATCCATGATTTGACATTACGAAGATATATATATATATACACATATAGAATATTTGAAAAGATTATGTAATAATACTATCTAATATTTAGATTTGATTTGATTTTTATATTTTATATATTTATATTAATTAAATAAAACATTTTTATAATTTTTATTTTCTATATATAAATAATGCAAACTTTTCCAATCTTTTTCATGTCTCTTTATGAATTTCGGTAGGATATTTAAAACTTCAAATGGTGTAAATGTAGAAATATATGATGATCAAATCGCATGCGATATTTTTGGATAGTTTGATGTGTAGAAAAACAAAGAAAGGCATTATTTGACTAATTGAAGAAAAGCTTTGATATTTTCGGATAGTTTTATATTTAAATTCAAACATTATATGCTCGATTGATTGATGCCCTTTTAATTAGTGGCATAACCCAAAACCCAACACAAACCATTCAAACCATTGTTGTTTCCCCCCCCCCACAAAGAATCCCAATACACATTTCACAAATGCCAAAGTATATATGTTGGTGTATACACACACAAATATGTATGTGTGCATGTATATGTGCCATGTGAAAAAGAAAAGGCTGCTGGTCCAAGGAAAAAGGTGAGTAAAGTCCATAGAAGACATACAAACCTATATATGTCCCTTTGTCTATGAGGATTGTGATATTCTCTTTGCTTGGATATGTGCGCGCACAGTCTGAGACCTTCTCCCTTTTTATTTAATTAGATTCTCTATCCATATAAATTTTCTCTTAGATTTTGATTTGTTCCCATGCATCAATGCATTTACACATTGCTCGTATCCTTATTTGTTTTATTTATCTTTTAATCGTTAAATTTGTAGTTAATTTATTTTCTTTATAGGACAAATCTCGGTTACTTATCTCATCCGATCATTTATGTGATATATATTCTTACAAGATTTAGTCTCTCTCTCTCTCTCTCTCTCTCTCTCTCCCCGAGTATAATACTTGTCCTTCGTAAAGCAAAGAAGCAAAGCATCTCATCCTCTTACACATACATACACACTCTTCACATTGTCTTTTGCATTTTCTTACAAGTATCGTTCCTTTTCTTGGCTTTGAATTCATCTCCCCTCTCTCTCCCCCCCTTTATCCTTTTGCATTCAAAATTTTATATTCCGATCAAATCAGCTAATGGGTATTTATCTTTACGAGCAAGAAGAACATGTCTAAAGCCTGGAATCTCTCCCTTCGCTTCATCATATCTTAAAATCATCTGACTCCGGTTTCAAAAATCGAAACTTTGTCGTCTCCGAAATTTCATCTCTCATCCTGTGTTGTGGGGATGCTTATGTATGTTACAGAAAGATCGCACGAATGTTTTTCTCCCAATGTCTCATTCTGTGATTGCTGTTTCTCAGTTTCTCCTTCCATAAACGCGTCTTCTTCTTCCTTCTCAGCTTCTGTTTTATTTCTTTCATTCTTTTTTTTCCCTCCACTATTCTTTGCTACAAATTGATTGAGCCTTTTTCCTATTACAAAACCCTGAATCTTCTTTCCTCCTGAGATTCTTGTCGGAAGCCTCTGCATTTTTTCAAGAAACCGAGATTTGTTTATTTACAGAGATTTTTTTCCTTTGTTTCCTTTAGACCCTTTTGTTAAAGCAATGAGTTCTTCATCTTCTCTGTCATCATCATATACAGAATCAAAAGACTCATGGCACCCTGCGGTGACGGCGAACACAACGAAATCAAGCTACTGGTTCAACTGGAGGGTCTTGATATGCTTCGTATGGATGGTCATAGCGATGGTCTCGACGGCGTTTTTGGTATTCAAATACGAAGGTTTTCGCAGGAAACGTGACGACAATGAGAAGGAATGGGGAGGAAATGTCTACGAGGACGAGACATGGAAGCCGTGCCTTCGTGGGATTCACCCTGCTTGGCTTCTTGCTTATCGTGTCGTCGCCTTCTTCATCCTTCTCGTGATGTTGATCGTCATTGGCCTCGTCGATGGTCCCACCATTTTCTACTATTACACCCAGTAAGTGCCTTTTCCATATGAATCAGTATGAGTTCTGAGCTCAATGTGAAATTGAAGTTCTGTTTGATCCATTCGGGGTTCAGAGCTCAGAAGAAACGGTTTCTGAAAAAGGGTTTGTTTACTTGCCTCCCAAGTTACAGATTTAATGCTGGTTTGTTTCTATGTTCTCTGCAGGTGGACATTCGCCTTGATCACTCTCTACTTTGGGGTATGTTTTAGAAAAAGTATTACATTGAATCACCAATCGATATGCTTATTGTCAGTTGCTTTATTTCTGGATTTGCCTAAACGATTTCTGTAGCTTGGATCGCTTCTCTCTCTGCGAGGATGTTACCATCACAACAAAAGAGCGGCCGGTGAACGAGTGGGTAACTTGGAGATAGACTCCGAACATGGAAGATCCAAAAATCTCCAAGCCCTTCAAGACGGCCGTGACAGGAAACCTGCAGGTGTTTGGGGTTACATTTTCCAGATAATTTTCCAGGTAATCTTCTGTATAACTGGGTATACACATACATATACATATATACATATTGTATGTCAGTGCAGATATAATCATATCAAGTTCAGCTTCGTTCATGGTTAACAAGGTATCACTGATTTTCTTGGTGGAGCAGATGAATGCAGGTGCAGTTTTGCTCACTGATTGCGTATTCTGGTTCATCATCGTCCCCTTTCTTGAGATCCATGATTATAGCCTCAATGTTGTAAGTAAAATACGCTGAAGAAGAATCCACCAGTTTTTGAAAAATTTTCATTTTGGTAAAGTTATATGATCAATCATCATCATCATCATCTGGGTTTGCATGCATTTGTCTGTAAATGCAGCTGGTGATCAACATGCACTCCCTCAACGCCATTTTCTTGCTCGGTGACGCCGCATTGAATTCGCTGGTACTTATAAACCCATCTTTTTTTTCCTTTACTTAGAGATTATAAATGGACTGAAAGTTTTCATTTCGATGGCATTGCAGAGATTCCCATGTTTCAGAATCGCTTATTTCTTCCTCTGGACCGTAGCTTTCGTCGTATTCCAATGGATCCTCCACTCCTTAGTTCACATCTGGTAAATTTTCTCGATGAATTTACTTACATATTCAATGATCATTCGCCCTTTCCCCCCCTCAAAACTCAAAAGTATGATTTGATTTTTCCGGCTTTCTCTGATAGGTGGCCTTATCCATTCCTGGATCTATCATCTCACTACGCTCCATTATGGTAATTAAGTTTACATCCTCGACCCCTGTTTTTATCTTACCTTCAGACAGCATATTTACGTTCAGAAAACCGACAAGAACACTTGAACGAAAACGGCAGGTACTTCTCAGTTGCAGTAATGCACTTCCCATGCTATGGGGCATTTGCCTTGTTGGTCAAGCTGAAACACCGACTCCTTCAAAGATGGTTCTCCGAGTCTTACCACTGTCCAAGGTAGCTTGTGTTACAAGCAACCACTTTGATTGGCCAACGGAATAATGTATCAGAGATACATTTTTTGGAAGGTAGACATCAACAGAACTGCGATGCAAGAAACCTCGCTGTATTAATTCTTTGCTTTTATATATATATATATATATATATATATATACAGCAGTCCCCGGTGAAGTAGAAGATGAGAGATAATAGTTGTAACTATACAAGCTTGCTGAATATATATAATGCATATATATATATATATATAGACACGAGTAGAATGGTGAAAGATTAAAATTCATTCACCAAAGGAAGGAAATATTTGTTTTTATCTTCTTTTTTCGCAAGGAAATAATGAAAGAAACATTAAAGATGAGAATACTTGGTGAATCCCAAGGCATTTTATGAATTGGGCAAATTATCTGAACATGGAGATTTTACCAGCACAGGCACAGGGGTGTTTTAGCACCAAAGTAAAATACGAGGCTCTTTTGCACAGATTATAATCTGTAGGGGGTGAAAGAGGCTATTAACTCAAAGTTATTTTGTGAGGATCATGCAACTGGCTTTTGCTTTAGCAAAGCTGAACTTCCATCCCCCCCCCCCCCCC